CTGCTTTCTCTCAGAAACTAGAAATCGAAAAGTCTACAGACAGAGGCTTCAATGAGAACGGCAATGGAGGTATCCCATATGTAGACTTGTAATCAGGGGCTTTAAGGACACAGGGCTAGTTAGTATTAGCATTCATTTATGTTTCCATGGTTTCCCTGACCTCAGCTGTTTATATCATTTGGGTTACAGGGTCGTGCCGGGCACCGCAAAAGATGTACAGAGTTTGTAGCGTTTTAGGGACCAGGAACTCTGTTGGAAGTCGAGTAATGTGGGACTCAGCTCGTTGGGATTCTTGACACATGGCAGCAAGCCCCGCGTAGATCAGGGTCATTTCTCGCTGAAGCAGTTCCTCGTGTGTCCCATTAAGGCTTGACAGCCATGGAAGCCTGAAGAAAACCCAAACACCACAACAATAAGACCCCAAACTCTACATCGCACGAACCGGACTCCCCGGATCCTTAAACCTCAACCCAAACCTTGCAACTCCCACAAAAGAAAAATCCGAAATCCCAAAAACGCCATCAACCCTAAACTGATAGCCCTTCACCATGAACCTGTCATCCCAAGCAGCACAACATTAATCCGACACATAACACGGCACAAAGCCGCTTTGTGGGCCCCCTCATAGAAAGCCTATTGAAGCACTTGAGATGCTTCGAAGCGAAAGAGTCTAGTGTAAAAAATCGGGTCTAAAGTTTAACATGACGCTGAAACAATACAGGGATTGCCTGAGCACCTTTACTCAGGAACCCTAACCAGATGCGATGGGTGGTACCAGTAGTTATACTAGTTGTACAACCTGACAGGCTGTGGTTCGTGTACCCTGGACTTCCAAACCTGTTTAATCACAAAAAAAAACCTTGTTAGTCTACCCAAACAACCAAACCCACCCCGGGCCCTGATCTCCAACAGTAACAACCAACCCTAAACCCCAAACCCCGATTTTCAAACACTTCCGCAGTGTGGCCACAGCCCGAAGAAACGCACCCGCGTCTCAGCTTGAAATGCCCTCCGGGGCGAGCGGTAGCCGAAGTCCGGGCAAAGAGAGCCCTGAATTTGTTCACAAAGCTCTCTCTCTCTCTCTCTGTCTGTCTGTCTGTCTGTCTGTCTATATACATATATATATATATATAATACACAGGTACAGCATTTAAATTACATGCACATTCATTCTTTTATTTAAGGCTCTGCGGGTTTCGGGCTTACAGTGTACAAGGTTTTAGGGTTCGGGCGCCCTGGGGCTTTTGCTTTGAGGCTTATTACTTTGGACCAACCATAGGGTCTTGCACTTGCTGCACAGCTTTAGAGCAAGGTCTTCGCATCGCAATGCTCCGCACATTTCAAACGCTCTACAAGCTCATCCTGACGCTCTACGGCACACCTTTTCAAGGAGATAATAGCAACGCCGAAATGAAATGTGAACTGCCATGTCTACGGTCTACTTCGGGCTTCGGGTCTATTAGGATCTTTACGTGCTTTTGTCCTTGCAAACACTAAAGCCTCATCCCCAAAGCCCCTGCTTTTCAGCTTTCTCCGCTCGGGCGGCCATCGAGGAACCTGGAAAATCTTCTCTCCGACCAGCCCCGTCCCAGCACCGGCGGCGAGGGCGGCTGCTAGCTAGGTTAAAGGTTCAAGGGTAGAAGGTTTATATAGGGGTTAAGGCATATTTTTTTCAAAGTTTTGGGGGGGCAGAACAGTATTAGTACGATTCGTCTGGTTCTGATCTTGAATGCGTACACTATAAACCCAGGTTTTCTTAACCTTCAAGCATTCAGTTTACCTATATGACGGGTAGGGCCCGAAACCCTTCACCAATAGACCATCTTCACTATTTCACCAATCGGTTTGATCCTTCGAGTGGTTCACAACATTGGTTTAGGAACCCAAGTTCTCCTAACCTTCAAACAATGACGGGTAATCATGGCCCGAAACCATTAACCAACAGACCGTTTTCACCATTTCATCAGTCGGTTTATTTCTTCGAGTGGATTGGTACCCAAACCACCCTTCAATTCTTTCACGCACCGTTTCACCAATTAACTTGGTCCTATGAAGTGAGGAGGACTCACACGGATTACGCACCAAACCATTTCACCATATCACCATTTCACAAACTCACCATTTTACCAATTAGTTTGGCCCTATGTTTAAACCCATAAACAGTTTCATCGCTGCGTCAATTAATTAGATTGGCCTTATGTTTGAACCCATAAACCCCTTGCACCATTTCGCCAATTAGTTTGGCCCTATAAAAAAATCCATAAACCATTTCACCAGTCGGTTTGGCCCCAACCCACAAACCATTTCACCACTTCACCAATTAGTTTGGCCCTAACCCCTATAAACCATTTCACCAATTGGTTTGGCCTCAACCCATAGCCCATTTCACCATTTCACAAATCAGTTTGGCCCTAACCCTTAAACCATTTCACGAATTGGTGTGGCCTCAACCCATAATCCATTTCACAAATTGGTTTGGCCTTAACCCACAATCCATTTCACGATTTGACCAATCAGTTTGGCCCTGACCCCTTAACCATTTCACCATTTCACCAATTAGATATTGGTTAAAATTCGTGGTGAAATGGTGAACCGGCCTGACCATATGGGTGAAATGAATGGTGCAATGGTGAACCGGCCTGACCATATGGGAGAAATGACGGCGAGATGGTGAACCGGCCTGAGCATATGGGGAACATGAATGGTGAAATGGTGAAGTGGTGAATGCGTGCTTTTCTGCGCGAGATCACGAAATGCAGGGGGGGGATCTAATATCACACATATATATATATGTATGTATGTATGTATGTATATATGTATATGCTCCCCCCCGAAGCTCTACGTACGTGGTTCTTAGGGCATGAGGCACACGAAACACTGTAATGCTCAAAAGATTCCAAAGCTTCCAACCTTGAAACTCACGAAACAATGTAATTCTCAAAAAATTCCAAAAATTCAAACATTCTGGCATTTATGGCCAGGCCGGTGGCAGATTGCTCTAATTCTTGGATTTTTTCGAGCATTACAATGTCTCGTGGGTTTCAGGGCTGTGAAAAACTTTAAATTATTTGAGCAGTGCAATGTCTTGTGAGATTTAAGCCACGAAACACTGCTATGCTCAAGTCTTGTGAGCTTTGAGGCTCCCAAGCATTGTTTTCTTAAGCAATACAGTGTTTTGTGAGGTTCAAGCCGCGAAACATTGTACTGTTAAACAATCAAATCTTACCAGCCCTGAAACCCCCGAAACACTGTATCGCTCAAACTTTCCAAAATTTCAGGATTCTCCCCGCGGCCAAACCATTGATGCCAGAAATTTGGAAGTTTTGGTGATTTTTAGCGCATTACAATTTTTCCTGAATTGCATGGTTGTGAACTTGGGAATTTTTGAGCATTACACACTTTGTGAGGTTCAGGTCACGAAACAGTGTTATGCTCAAGTTTGGTGGGTTCTCAGGTTGCGACAAGTTGATGTCTTTTAGCATTACAATGCTTTGTGAAGTTCAGGCCACGAAACGTTGTAATGCTCAAAACATCAACTTTCACCAACCTCCAAACTCACGAAACACTGTAATGCTCAAAAATTCCAAAAATTTATGGAATCTGCCACCGGCCTGGCCATAGATGCCAGACTTTTGGGATTTTGGGACCGATTTCTTGAGCATTGCAGCATCTCGTGAGTTTCAAGGTTGGGAATTTTGGAATGTTTGAGCCTTACAGTGCTTCGTGAGGAAAGGGTATGCTGTATCACAAGAAAACAGTGAACTTTCAACCGCATTCAAGGACTAGAATTATTATTTTATGTGTCTTCTGGGACACCAAAGGTTTCCATTACTTTTGCTTGATAAGTATGAACAAGACCCACCTTTGTCACTATGTTTTAGGAAACTGATAGATCTATGGCACCAGCATCACTGGCTCTAGTACTTGAGTTTTCTCGTAAATGGTTCCGCCCCTTCTTCGGCAAGTTGCACAACCTATCCAACACAGTACTGATGAATGCCGATTAAGTGCTCCATCAGCGCAATCCTATCTAGAACGTACATATTTTGTTTCACATTGAAGACTGTAGGAAACTGTTAGCATTTTGCTACCATCAGAAACCATGGAGACTCCCTATGCTGCTTCCGACGAGACAGGAGTTTTCATTCAGTTAACTTCTATTGGTGCTGTCCTATACCTTGGAGAAGATACCGATCGCTATGTCCATGGATGTTTCTAATGGCTGTCATACGAGAAGAACGTAACACAAAAAGTGGCTGTCTTCAATCTTCATGCGACACTCCCTACATGTGATCAACAGACAAAAAAACTGGTATCGTGTAATAAACGGGCAAGAGGCGTGAAACGTCTATCGAATTTCTATTGAAGCCACCTGCCTCATATCCTGACAAAGCGATACCAGTCCTTCTGTCTATGAATATGGTTTAAATCAATCTTTAAGCGACACTCCCTGGATGTGATCAACAGACAGAAAAGAGTGTGTTTTCTGGTATCGTTTAATAAACGGGCAAGAGGCGTGAGACTTCTATCGGGTTTTTAGTGAAGCCACCTGCCTCATATCCGACAAAGCGATACCGGTCCTTTTGTCTATGAATATGGTTTAGACGCTGTCATAGTTCGTATCACAGCATGAAAAGGAGCTCTCTTCAGTGTTCAAAGAGTAGAGGTCCCATCGTGTATCTTTCTTCGGGAACAGCAGGAGTTTTATTTCTCTATGAGGATGGCCCAAAAATCTATTCGTTTACTTCGCCTTGTATCCTCAAAAACAGATAGCGATTGCTATGCACATGGCTGCTTAGATATCTGTCATAGACCGTGTCACAATATACAAAGTTTTCTTCCATGAGGTGCCATCTTACAAGGATCAGGAGCCCCTGCCTTCTGATTGATACGTATCAATACAGCCAGTGGTAATTAGTCCTGCTTCATATCTGGAAGGATGCAAGAGCTCTCTTACTTTTTGCTGCTGAGGAGCCTTCCTGGGCACGCCCATGTGCAAA